TTAAAAGCTGGGAGGAAAAGGAGACATCCTGACAATTTCAAACAGGCTGGATAACCAAGAAGAATTCCTCAGATGATTTAGAGGGAGCGACTTGCTTCCTTCTGAAGTCTAATATATCACTGCTACCCAGATTCCTGGCTGTAGACTGAAAACGTGCCACGACAAGAAACGTAAAGGTACCGAGCAAGTAAAATGAAAATAATTAAACACAGAAAATCATTCTGTTAAAACACTCACCCAAACCTCAGCAGTGATTCAGAGCTGTTTTCCTGAGGGCAAGTTACTGTTCCTTTTTAAAAACAACAGCAACAGCTTGACTCATGCTGGGGCAATATTAATATTACTGGAATGTCAATTTGCATATTGCTGTGTTTAACAGCTTGGGAAATGCTTTCTGATTCAGAAATGTACTCCCAGCATCATTAACAGTTAAGTTTTTTCAGATAAACCAATTCACTAACAAGATGCAATATCCTTTTTCTTGCGAGAATTTTCTTGCTTGCCTTTAAATGGTTTGTAAGATGGGCTGGGGAACATCTGGTTTCATTCTGAATGAATATGCAAAAAGTAATCAGTGAAGCTTATTCCTATTTAAATGACAACTGATGGTAATTTACTTTGGCACAGAGTCGCTCCTTGGGAAAGACTCTGCACATGCTTGCTTGCTGTCGCCTGCTTTGCTATCTGTTTATGGGTTATACCTGCCGAGATGGAAGCCTAAACACATGCAGTACTGAGGTTGTGTCCACACTGCCTGTTTAGCCCAGGGTCTGAACCTGGAGCTCTATCTACACTGTTAAACCCCAGCCCAGGGAATGGGGCTCTCGTTTTGGAAGCCAAAGGTTAAGAGAGAAGCTAAGAGGTGAGGGCGAATTTACGCTTCGACAGTTATTCACCTATACTCAGCCACACCTACACCGAGGTTAATTTTCATCAGCTCACCACCCCTGAGGCCACCGCCCCACGCTGCTCCTCCGGTTGGGTGCCCCACAGCGAGTGTTGGTGATGCGCCGGTTGGTGATGCGCCGAGGCAAGGATCGCCGAGTGACTCACCCGAGAGCCCCAGGACACCTCGCACCTACCTGGCTGGGCAGAGACGGGAGGCAGAAGGCAACTCCAAGTGCCTGGAGGCCACGCCAGCCGAAGACCAGGTGCCAGGTTTAACTGCGGCACATGTACAGCTCCCCAGCAGCCCCTTCTTCTGCCTTCCTATCTTTCTCCTGTCAGCCTTTTGCTCATTTCCATACAAACCTAGAGAGACCGGCTATTAGGGCTACCGGTATTTTTTGTTCCTTTGAACTGTGCAGTAGGATAAAACCATGCAGTGACTCTGTCCCGGCTCGTGCCTGTACCTGCTCCTGCCTCTTCCAACCCAGGGGCAGCTCCCGCGGGCTCTCGCCGCGTGCGGACGCTCAGTGCAGATGGGCACAGGGGGATGCTGTAAAACAAGTCTCGTTTGTGATCCCCAGCTATCATACTGATATGCCTCTCTGCCATTTAAAATCATGTCATTTCAGGCCCTGAGGACATTAACATAAAAGCTGGGTTGTGTTCCAGCCCAGCTTGCAAGCACAGTCTGATTCTAGACGGCATTTTGAGCTCACTTGAGAAACACAAACTCTTCCAGAAGGGGACTCAGGGCAGGAAAGTACAGCGCTATAGAGTCAAGAGGAAGGGACTTGCATAAGCAATGTCCTTCTGGTGGCTTCTTCCAGTTGTAAAGGTAATGAGATGGGATGACATCCCTGCGGGCATGCTCTCCATGAAGAAACTGAGTACTTACAAGCTTGCTGGGGGTAAAATTTCATACCCTATGGGCACCCTTCTGCAGGGTAGCACCCCACATTCCTATGTATAGATCAACCACCTTTGCTGGGTGGTTTCCAGGATTCATGCAGATATTACTGTGTGCTTTGCCATCCCTGAATTAATTCTGTGCCCTGGAAGCAGCTGTGAAATCCATCTTCCCAACACGCACACCAGCGCTTGCCAGCCTCCTGTCTGAC